TCCCTCCTCTATTATAGGCCAATTCTTAACCCTCTCTTTCCTTTTATTCTTCTCTTTTTCTTTTTCCTTCTTTCCTTCCTTTGACTTTCAAATTTGCAGTGAAGAAACGTGGGATTTTATTTATTTTAGTAAATGTATTTGATTATTTAATAAGTCCAGGAAAAACCTACATTCCTATTGATTAAATGATCATCTGTATGAGGTAAATCGTTTGAATCTCATTAATTTCAATTCACACAAACACACACACGCGTGCACACACGCGTGCACACACGCGTGCACACACGCGCACACACGCGCGTGCACACACACACGCGCGCATGGCTGTAAGAGTCTGTTGTGTGGGGACTGGATTATAACGTCCTATACATCAAAAGACATGTTTTAACTGTGTATCTTCAGCGAACTGGCACTAAATTATCGTCAATCGCAATCAATGTTTACACAATGAAAAAAAGGCCCTTTCTTTGACCGTATTTTGGGAAAAAATTCCCCTTTGACGTGAAGTGGGACTCATATATATGATACAGCACTAAAGACGGCACAAAATAGACATTTCCTTATATGGCACCAAAAATTACATGACTTCGTCTGCCATGATCTAGATTCACAAGAGTCCGATCAGAAACAAAGGAGTATTGCTGCGATGATTGGTGTTGGAGTTGCCCAATATTCTCTTTCTATCATCGACCAAGTTCCAAAGCGCCTACGTGGCTTTGTGGGTGATTAATTATTTTCTTTCTACCAATACCTGCCCCACAAACTCAACGTCACAAGTCCATCCCTGCTCTTTTTTTAGTTCACTTTTAGGTCTGAGACGCTCTATGACATATACACAGTGGCTAACAATCTACACTCCCTTCCTTTTCGACCTTTAAGTAGGCGGTTTCATTGGCACAGCGTCTTCCCAAGAGCCGACATTTTGTGAAACACCCTCTCGAAATAATTCATCTCTGACCAGTACAATCTTCTCTAAGTCTAGGGTCATCTATCTTATATTTGAAATAATTACGTTCATAAACATCTCCATTTAGTGATATTAAGTGTATCTCAGTCCTTTTATTGGATTAAAATCTTCGCCTCCTTCTCTCTCTTCTTCTCCTCCTCCTTCTTCTTCTCCTCCTCCTTTTCCTCCTCCTCCCCCTCATTCTTCTTCTTCTCCTTTTACTCCACCTTCTTCTCCTCCTCATTTTCCTCCTCCTCCTCCTCCTTCTTCTTCTTCTTCTTCTTCTTCTTCTTCTTCTTCTTCTTCTTCTATGCACCCTGTCCCAAAAGGACGTTGCCAATTATGACTCCCCAGAATTTCCTACCTTTTGTATCTTCAAATATTTTTTTTGTTATATCCCCTTAACCCTGTTCTGCCATTCCTTTATTCAAGCTTGAGACGTAGTTCGTGTATTGTTTTCCTCTCTCCCTCTTCTTCACTCCTTCCTGTGAGTATTATATTTACCAAAGCCTCTTTCTACATAATGTGCCCTAGATTAGCCAACTGTTTTTTTTTTACTGATATTATGTATAAGTGTCATTTTTCTTTCCATTTTTTCTAAAGGTTTTTTTGCTGCTCGCATATCCAGTCAATGGTACTCTCATCATCTGTGAGGTGATTGTTCAGCATTCCCTGCCAATTTTTGCTTGTAATGAAATTTCTCTATTTCTTAATACTTTGCTTAGCTTTTGGAAGGCATCGTTCGGTATCCCTACGCGCATTCGGTGTCCAGTGTCGCACTTTCCGCCCTCAGATATTCAAATTTATGACTTGTTTAATTTCGGTATCTCATATTGTTGACTGTCCGTTTTGCTGACGATCATGAATTCTGTTGTCTTGCAATTGATGTGTAGTCCTTTCTTATCGCTTTCCTACACAACATTTCATATGGTTTCTTGTATTATCCTTTCTGTGTTTCCTATTAACACTGTGTCATCTACCTATCTTATGTTGGTATGGTTACGACAGTCAGTAATAAATCCTGGTAAGGTGTCTAATTTTCTCTGAATCACCTCACTGTATCGGTTGAATAAGCCCAGTAAGAAGACACGCCAGGTCTTCTACTTTTTTGTTTATTTGTATTTACGGAATCCATTTTCTATGCGTATACAGGCGGTTTGCGGCCAGTATAGATTAATCTTTCTTTTCAAATATGTCAAGGGTAGTAAAAAAAACACACTATTTTATATTTGTGTTAAGGAAGGATCCTTTACCTATATATTTGAAATCTTCAATTATCATCCACAATGATCAGCAACTATTCCCCTGAGTATGGAATACACAATTAACACGGCCTATGTCTAAATGCACGCAAAGGATATTGAAAGTTATAAAAAATTATTTAAAAAAGGATGGAATAATAAAAGAATTAGAGGTTTCCATAAATGAGAAAATATGAAAGAGAAAGAAAAGTAGAGAGACGAAAAAGAATCCATATTAAAAAAAATATGTTTAATGTAAAATAAATACATTCGATGATGCCAAAATGGCGTCGAAAATAAATGGACGACGTTGCTTGAACGTGAAAAATGGATTGTTAAAATTAGGTCAATAATATTCAGCTATACCTTTCTTTTTTTCTTGGAAGATGTATTGATTTCATCAGATTTTATTGTTTTCTGTCGTGAACTCACTCATTTCTTCCATTTTTTTTCACTTGGAAAGATTACTCTTGTTTGTTCATTTTTCGTTTTTATTTTTCAGAAATTCATGTTTCCTTTCATAATTCTTCGTTTTAACGGCGTCATTTTTTTGTTAATTTTACATTATAAGTTTTCATTTTTGACTCTTAAGCTTTCAATCTATTCTTATCACACATTTTTTTTTTTATTTTTACATTTTTATCTTTCTAACACACAAAAACGACGTTTCGAATTTTTCTTTCCTTTATTAATCTATTTTATTTAATTTTATTTAATGTTTTTTTTTAGATATTTTAAAACGTTTCATCCGAGAATAATGCCAGATAAGGACAGGAAGTGAGTTCTGATTATCTTTCTTCAAAGAGGAAATATTATGAAATGCTTCCCTTTACTTGAAAACAAGACACTAGAGACGACGAAAAAAAAAAAAAGCACTTCAACCTGTAAATAGACTAATTGAATATAATCTGTTATTTTACTAATGAGTGCAGGAGGAAAAGTCATCGGTGTAGTTATGTTCGATTATCGTCTGGCGAGAACTCCTTCCCAGTTTTTTTTAACAGCAATGGAGATATATCCCTTTTTTAGGATTGGATTTCCGGTTCCTTCTAAAGTCTTCTTCAACTCTGTATATTTAACATCTTTGCCTAGAGATTGAAAATTTATTAACTGTTATTTATTTTTTCCTGAATGGGAGGAGATAGGATTGCTTATTGTCCGGCTGAAGCTCCTAACTGATATTTTGAGCAGGAGTAGAGATTTATTCTTTGTTCCGATTGGGTTTCCGGTTCGTTCTAGTGTCTAATTCAACTCTACATTTCTAGTATCTAAACTCGGAAATTTTATTTACTATTTATTTATTTACTTTTTATTCAGTAAGTGCCGATAGGTTCTCCAATCAACGGATATACACTCCTACAAGATTTTCTGTACAGCAGTAGAAGTTTCCTTGTCTCCTTTTTAGGATTAGTTTTCTCGTTCCTTTTATTGTCTTTTCGTTGTCTCGTACTCCCAGTAGTCCCTTTTGTCTTTCTGCCATTATCACTTGGCTAGGGATGAATTGATGAAAATAAAGGAATAAATAATACTCGATATCTATTTTCATTGTATTGTTTTGGCTTAGTTTGATTTGTTTTACTGCATATCAGCCTCAATGTGTCGGGCACCTCGGGGTGGTGTAATGGTTAGCAAGCTTGTCTCGCTAGAACAATTACAGCTGCTTAGTGAGTTCGATTCTCCCTAGTTGCCCCTTAATTTCGGCCTTGTGCCACATTTAAACAATTCTTGGAAAATCACTGTCAGCCTCAATGGCTCATTTGATGCCGACAAGTTTTTTATGTTGATGGTAATATTTTTTTTTATTGCTGGTGATATTTTTTGTCAAAAATGTATTGCTGGTAATATTTGTTTTGAAAAATTTATTGCAGATAATATTGTTTTCTAAAAATGTATTGCTGATAATATATTTTTTTTTTGTAAAATGTACTGCTGATAATATTTTTTTTTTGTAAAATGTATTGCTGGTAATAAATTTTTTCCAAAAATATATGTGAGAACTGATGATAGCCGCGGACAGAACAACTTGAAATAGACTATCTCTGTGTTGAGGTATTTTCTTGCTATATATATATATATATATATATATATATATATATATATATATATATATATATATATATATATATATATATATATATATATAAATTATATATATATATATATATATATATATATATATATATATATATTCAAATTACAGTCAATCCCCGTAAATAATTTATTTTGTATATTGTTGGTAATAGTCTATTGCTGGTAATATTTTTTTTCAAAAAAGATATTCCTGGTAATTTTTTTAAAAAATGTATTGCAAGTCATACTTTTTAAATGTATTCCTGGTGATAATGTATGGGTGGTAATAATTAAAAAAAAATGTATTGCTGTTATGGAAACCTATTTTGGCACTTTCATAATGTCTTGACCCCCGTTTGGGGATTAACTATTTGGCCAGTGCTGGTACACTAACAGGGGCTACCACCCCGAGTCAAGTTAGATCCGGGAAAAGCAGCAATTAAAAGGTGGATCGACAGTGCTCAAACCCACCTGATCAGAGATATTACTACCGAATGTAGTTTATCGTCATACCCAGGACGCTTTTTATTGTACAATATTACATGTTTGTAGGGTATATATATATACGACAAACATGTAATATTGGACAATATTAAGTCAATGCAATGGATTTGACTGTCATTCGAACTCGGGTCTCCGATACCTCAATCCAAGCCGGTATCCATTACTCCACTGTGCGTCCATGGGAATGGTGTGACTTCTCTTCTTCTCCCTCCAGCTATGGATAAATAGCAGGACAGACTGGGTTCTATAGCCTTGGATGGCAACTGGTCTAGGAGAAGGACAACTCTGAATTCAAAACATGCGGAGGGTTGTTTGGGGACCTTGTGGCACGTAGTGCACCAGGTCTCTGTATTTCGCCCTGCAAAATGTGTGGATGGTCCTGCACAAAACCTTCACCACTATAATCAAATCTCATGTGCTGTTGTTGGTTTCCTAGGAACTGATCTAACCCTAACCCTCATACGTTGAATTCGACCGGAGAGTCAGTATATATATATATATATATATATATATATATATATATATATATATATATATATATATATTCATGAATTATTCACACAAAACAAATGCAAAGGTTAATGATTTAATTGGCGAGAAATCCATCGTCGCAAACAATTCAAATAATATACAAAAACCTCCGAATCCGTTATGAATGAAAAGATCCTTGTTTCTATAAATTTCTGCAGTATTAGTTCTTATTTTTACTACAAGCTTTCGTCTGTTCCTACAGACATCTTCAGGTATGGAATAGATGTTGTTCTTGTTTTTTCTCTTAGTAATAAGAGGACAACGAAAATATATGTATTGTTGTATCCGAAAATGCTATTGGAAATGAGTTATTGTTTTTGGAGCGCGCAGTAGCAACGCTGAGTTTCATTTTAAATTTTTTACAGTTGTGCGTTCATGTACAAATATGGTGATGAACGAATTTTTTACTGGTAAATTTTCTGTCAAAGTGGCATGAACTCTATTGTTCAATAATTACAGTAATGTCGAAATTATTATCCAAAATCGCACTTGGATCAGTTATTTTAATTACGATAAACGTGCAATCAATTTACAAATTCATGAATTATTCACACAAAAACAAATGCAAAGGTTAATGATTTAATTGGCGAGAAATCCATCGTCGCAAACAATTCAAATAATATACAAAAACCTCCGAATCCGTTATGAATGAAAAGATCCTTGTTTCTATAAATTTCTGCCATATTAGTTCTTATTTTTACTACAAGCTTTCGTCTGTTCCTACAGACATCTTCAGGTATGGAATAGATGTTGTTCTTGTTTTTTCTCTTAGTAATATAATTTGCATATATATATATATATGATCATAGCTTCAAATTACAGTCAATTTCCGTAAATAATTTATTTTGTATTTTACCTATGTTTGAACCAGTATCTGTTATAGACATATATATATATATATATATATATATATATATATATATATATATATATATATATATATATATACTTATTGACATGTAACTACGTATATTTGCCCAATAGTCGTCTTGCTTATCCACGGTTTGCAATAATAATGGTTTAAATATAAAACGAAGTTTTAGTTCTACATATTTCTTAAGCTTAGTCTGACACATGCTCATACAATAAGAGTTCCAACGTAAACCACATTCATTTCATTACGGTGTTGTTTGTTAGAAGCCCTTTTAAAACATCACTCACCGTCAAGAACCCATTCCCGCTTTTAAAGCATTATTTCGTTTTCATTATTCGTCATCGTTTGTCACGTCTCGGCGATACATGACGTTTTTTTTTCTCTTTTAACTACAGATTGAATAGAGATCAAAAATATGTTCTTTTGAATTTACACTCACCTGATCAGTATTTGAATAAAACACGTGTATGCGTTTCTGTTTTCTTAGGGCCTTAAACACGAGACCAATGTTTGAAGTATATTTTTTTTTAATCATTATTACTTTTTTATTATTTCTGCCATATGTCGTCTTGTGCTTCAACAGGTTCTTGACAAAATCCAAAGAAGAATTTGCAAGGTTACCTTTCCTGACAAGGCATCGCGCAGGGATATGAAAGATGGGTTATGTATGGGTTTGGTGCATAATTACCAGGCGTTTTTTTAAACAATATTTATTATGAAAAAACAAACATAACATTTCAACAATAAAATTTTCAATGATGATTATCATCGACACCCATTTTTATAACCTGAATATAAAATAATATTTTATTAAAAATAAGTAAACAATACAGCAATTTTTCTTAACAAATAACATGCCTACAAAAAATTCCTGATATTTATGCACCAAAGCTAATTTATTGTGGCTGGACTAGCGAAAATATTTGGAAACTGCCTTGATCATTTGTGCAGCCACAAACAATTTGCGTCACAATTCGTGCTAGATTATATATATATATATATATATATATATGTATGTATGTAAATATATAGAAAATAGGAAAGAACACGTTAGATAAATAATCCGAAGTTCTTTAGTATTTTTGTTACAGTGCTCTATACAAAAGTAGAGCCTATATATATATATATATATATATATATATATATATATATATATATATATATATATATAATGTACAGTAAAGTTTTTTTGTGGCGCATTTCATCCGTTAGAATTTCATCGGACTGGGCTCTGATGACGTCCCACGTCTACGCATGCGCATGAAACGAGAGACGCAGGTAGTTTCAAAATCTTTTGAAGGAATAGTTTTTGAAAGAATTTTTTTTCTTAATCT